GAGGAGGAAGTGACAGACAACAAGGGGAAGAGAGGGGTGGGTACGGACAAGGAGGGGTGGGGGTCCTGCGAGAGCGTCAGAGTAGGGGGTGATGTAGGGGAGGAAGTTGTGATAGAGGAGAAGATAAGAGAGGAACTTGAACAAGGAGAGACAAGCTTGCCCGCCGGCTTTTGATCACCAAAAGATGATACTTGAACCGTAAAGATCTTGTAACCAGAGATTGCTGTCGCGAGGGTGGAACATCCGTTTCAAGGCGTTTGAAGAGGTTGTGCAGTTTTATCTTGCTCACCGATGCACAAGTGAGCTTGCTCACCGATGCACAAGTGAGCTTGCTCACCGATGCACAAGTGAGCTTGCTCACCGATGCACAAGTGAGCTTGCTCACCGATGCACAAGTGAGCTTGCTCACCGATGCACAAGTGAGCTTGCTCACCGATGCACAAGTGAAGTTGCTCACCGATCCACAAGTAGCTCCGGCAGTCTCTCATGTGTAAGGCTAGCCACTAGTAGCTCCGTGACATCAACACATCCCTCGATCGCAGTCTCCTGGGAGTTGCTGATTTGATCCTACTCAAAGCTGACGATCAAGAGACTTGAAATAACAGTCAGACTCGGAATCGACTAGTAGCTCCCAGTGTTTTCCGGCAACTTCATGTCCGGTCCGCAGTGTAGCTGATGTCCGACCGACCAATCTGGCTGGGGAAAGGCTTGTTTTTCCTAGAGTGCATCCGAAGATCGATCAAACAGATTGTGGCTGGGATACTAGTAATAGGGCTGACTTGAAACAACTTGCGGCTAGAGAGAGAGCCTGATTGAAGAGAAGAGTCATCCGAATGTGTGTAACGAGACTTGATGGGATTGCACGAGTTTGCAGCAGAAACGAAGAAACACCAACAAACAGAAGCTGCAGAAAACATTATGACTGACCAGACATGAGATCAACATGGTTGGGCATGTATACGAGGGTTGAGACTCCTGGGTCATGACGGATCGAAATCAAGCTTGTTGCAAGTGGACCGACGTTGTGTGACGCACGGAAGTCTCGAGTCTGATTTTGAAATCAGACCCGAGAATTTCAAAGTCTTTGAGACTTTTTGAAACTCATTCCAGTGTCGCACAACTCCGCAAGCTCCGAGCGACTGTGTGCAAGAGCCGCCGCTTCGTAAACAGTCCTCCGAGTGTACCGGCAGACACTCGCCAACCTACTTGGCTCAACGCCGAGGACCGAGCTCAGGAGTACCCGTAGTCAGGTCAGACTGTTAGGCTAGATAGCACCCGGGTGTGTAGACAGGTCATAGGCTACTAGGATGTCTCGCGAGATCTTCTCTGGCAAGGGATCGAGTGAGACCGGGTTACCCGTTAATGAGAGTTGGCGTGTATGGACTATGGTGGAGGGGTGGCTTCGGCCCTGTGGTGGGTGAGGGGGTGGTGCTGAGGAATGGATCTGGTCTTGTGCTGACCGCTGACGTGGCTATCAAAGACCACCATCAGAAGCATGACGACTGAGTCACTCTCTTTCCTCTCTCATGGACGCGATTCCAACCCCCCCGATGTGTTCATCCATCCTCCCCTTGGACAAGACAAGGTCTCCAACCTCTTCCTCCTGAATGCCGGTTTTCGCTGCCTCCTTCGTTTCCTAGTATTTTATTGAGGCGGTTTGTTGGTTCTATCCTCCCCCTCCTTTGTTTGCTCCGGTTTGTCCTTCTTTTTCAGTCAATAAATTGAATGATCACTTGCTTTCCTTTCTCTCCTCCCATGCATCTCTCCCTCGCACCCATCACGCCATCTTGCTCTAGAGTCACTTTGCTCGGACTCTTGTTTGTCTTGGCAACACCTTCTTCCATCTTGCTCTAGAGTCACTTTGCTCGGACTCTTGTTTGTCTTGGCAACACCTTCTTCCATCTTGCTCTAGAGTCACTTTGCTCGGACTCTTGTTTGTCTTGGCAACACCTTCTTCCACTCTCCCGCGTGAGACGCTGTCATCGGTCACCTGACGCCGCGCGTCGACCCTAGACGAAGAGACAAGTTGGTTCGTGCCGAGCATCGTTTGTCCCAAGAGTCATCGTGTGCTGATCAGGGGGTTCTCAGCTGCCCCCGGCTCTGATCTCATTACTGCTCCTCGGGTCACTGAGCACTCGCTCACACAGTGTGTAACTCCGGATCTTGAATGTTTGATCGATCAGAGTTCGTTTCACTCTACTGCGTCTCACAACATTCAGTAACGAGGAGAACAGTCACATAGTGTAGCCGTTCTCTTTGGTTGCCAGGTCAGTTCACCCCACGTCTCTTGGTACTAACTTTAGTCTATTTCAAACCTAAATTCAGTTGAGTCAAGAAGGAAAAGTCAGGTGGGCAATTTGGTCAAATGAGTCAAATGATTACGAGGGGACGATGAGGCGGAGGAGCTGAGAGGATGTGGTCATGAAGCTGGCCGGGCTGTAGTGACGTCTAGTCATCATGGATGGAGATGAAGCTTGTCCAGCTGACAACCCTTGACCTTGACCCCTCCCAGGTCTCAGTGCTCCAAGGCGCTCGCCAGCTGACCCCTGGATTCAAGGGTGGATCGAGCTCAGGAGTACCGGTAGTCAGCCGAGACGAGGAGGAGAGTCAGTCTTGGCTCTACCTCTCTCTCTCTTGAACAACCCGTCACTCTGTCGCCTCCAGCGCTCGGGCCGTGTACCGTCACGTTGTCATACGGTCCGATCTTCAGCCTCCGGCGCTCCGGTCACTGACTGAGAGATCATGTTCGCAGTAGATGACTAAGTTAGTCAATCCTCTCAACGGTTTTCATCGGCAGCAGTCCGCCTCGGAACCGTTACTCCAATTTAGCGTCCACCCCTTACGCTGAATAACGGAACCCGGGAGGTTCTGGGGTGGGGTAGGACAGTGCAAAATGCATCAACAGGTAGGGTAGGCTGGTGTTGCTCACCCGTACCTGATAGGCTGAAACCATGTGAATAAGAGGGTGGTATACGACTAGGGTAGGGCTCCATGTAGAGGGGTGGTTGGGCGGGAAACATGGCAGGAGGATGAAGGGGAGAGCGGGAGGAGAGAGGGAGAGAGGATGGAAGGAGCTTGAGGGAGGGTGACGACAAGCTTGTCTTGTCGCTAGAGTGTGAGAGATGTCTTGTAGCTGCTGCAGAGAGAAAGAGAAGAGGAGGAGAGGAGAGGAGAGGAGAAGATAGAAGCGGAGAGGATAGAAGCGGAGAGAATAGGAGAGGAGAGGCGAGGAGAGGAGAGGAGAGGAGAGGAGAGGAGAGGAGAGGAGTTTAGTCAAATAAACAGGAGAGGAGGAGAGGAGCAAAAAGGAGAGGAGATGATAAAAGAGGAGAGGGGAGGCGAGGCGAGGAGAGGAGAGAGAGGGGAGGAAAGGAGAGAAGTTTAGTGAAATGGAGAGAAAAGGAGAAAAGAGAAGCGAAGAGAAGAGGAGTTTGGTGAAATCGAGAGAAGAAGAGGGGAGGGGAGGGGAGGAGAGCAAAGCAGAGCAGAGGAGGGAAGGGAAAGGAAGGGAAGAGAACAGCAGAGAAGTCAAGGGAAACAAAAGAAGTGAAGAGAAAAGAAAAGGAGGAGAAGAGAGGAGAGGAGAGGGGAGGGGAGGAGAGAAGAAGAGAGGAGATGAATGGAGAGGAATGAATAAAAAAGGAAGCGAAGGGAAGGGAAGAAAACAGCAGAGAAGACAGGAGAAACCAAGCGAGGAGAGAAGAGAAAAAAAGAAAGGGGAGGAGAGAAGAGAAAAAAGGAGAGAGGAAGGGAGGAGAGGAATGGAGAGAGCAGCAGAGAAGAGATGAATCGAAAGAGCAAAGGAAAGAAGAGGAGAGGGGAGGGGAGAAGAACGACAGGAGGAGCGGGAACAGGAGAGTGAAGAGAGAACGAGAGATTAGGAGAGCAGAGCTCAGAGCAACTCTCGATGACATGATGCTTGTGACAGGCGTTGAGATCTGTTGCGCCTTGTCCCCTCCTGCTAGTCTGGTACGGCATGGGGAAGGATGTACAGAGAGAGATCCTAGAGCTTGAGCGTGAGCTCTTGACCTGGAGAGCCAAGAATGAAGTGCTGCTCGCCCACACCTCCGCTCTCGCTCAAATCAGAAATCCCACGGCTGATCCGCCAGCTAGTGCCCAGCAGACGACCAGCTGGACTATCCCCGACGATATCAGCTCGGACCTCAAGAAGCTCTTTCAGACCCCTCGAGGCTCAAAGGAATACAAAACGATTCTCAACAACCTCCGCATGGCTCTCGGCGTCGACGCGTCAGCCCTCATGCCGTACGCAGGCCCTGACAAGCTCTCGTACGACGACTACGAGGTCAGAGTCGCAAGAGAGTGGGAGCTCGAGCGCAAGGCCAGCAGCCTCGGCGACCTCAACATTCTCCGAGTCATGGCGGAGTGCATCCCCGGCGGGAGCGCGGCGAGTCCTCTTGCGGGGCTACAGGGGATGACGGAGAGCGCTCTATCGGCTCTATGGCAGACGGCGATAGGGAGGAGGCTCGAGGAGGCGCTGAGGAGGCCGGCGGAGGCAGGAGGGCGGGCGGGAGGAGACGGTGCGACGTCGCACAACAGCAAGTTTGCGGAGGTACGCGACCCGCCGTGTACGGGAAGATCGAGGAGCACTACGGGGGGCTGATGGAGCGGATCGGGCTACCTCAGACGGAGCTGATGAAGGCGATAGAGGAGGAGCACTGCAAGGGCAAGGACGCGGAGGAAGCGTTCACAACGAGCAACTACAACATCACGACGACAGCCAAGGAGGAGTGGCTCAACGTGACAGACCCGGAGAGGAGGCGGAGGCTGTCGGACGGGACGCGGGTGATCCGAGGGATGGAGGAGCTGAAGGCGCTGGACACGGCGATCAAGGCGGGGCTACAGGAGGCAGAGCTGATCGCGCTGCAGCTCTACACAGGT